TTGTTGTTGTATTATTATTATCTATAATTTATACAATTAACCTCTCTATGGTTCAACCTCGGTCTTGCCGAGTTATTTATTACTTCAACACTCCTGCACTTGGGAGAAGATATCAAGCTTTTAGTTGTGTCATCTAACATGTAGATGTGACCTAATTGGCTTGGTCGGAGGAATTCTTGTCCTATGGTATAATTAAAACTTTAAGGAATTAATATATGGTAAAGGAATTAGTTAGAATAAAGCAGACAAGAATATGAATGAAATAAATTATGACTCTCTTTTGCCTCTCTCTTTCTCTCTCTTATCACTCATTTCCTCTCTGTGTTGCTTCTTTTTTTTCTTTTTTTTTATCAAAGCATCCATTTTCATTATATACATTAGGAAGTATATTGCTCAATAGAAGCCCAACTATAACATGTAAGTTTCATTTCCTTTCCTACATGATAAAAAAAAATAAACAACAATGGATAATTCTTGAATAATTAATTTCATTGAACAAATGGAATTTCAGGTTTACAAATATAAATGCTACTCATACAATAATATCTATGATAAAATTGTCGATGAAAGTGTCTTTGTTTTAGTGGAGTTAGGTTTTCAAAAATCCTGAATGAAACGTAGTGTTTAGTTTAAAAAGTTCAAGGTTAATATATATATATATATATATATATATATATATAAATTTAGTTATTTTTTTAATTTTAATAAACTAATTATCTTATAAAATTGACATGTAAGCAAGAATTTTACTAGGAGGAGGCTCACAATGTTGTTTTCATGAAAGTATAGGAGAATCATAGTGCCATTAGATAAGATTGAAATTCAAAATGTGATATATTTTTAAAAAAAAATATTCAAGTTTTATTTTTCATAATCTTGATGAAATATGAAATTTTTTTTACAAACCAAGTTACGTGATTTCTAGTACGAGACACAGAAAAAATCAAATAAATATGCAAAAGAAAGAGGTCTTTTAGGCTAGGACGACATGGTCGTATAGAAGAATTTCAGACCTCCGTACACCTTAGAGGCTATTTGAGATACTCATATCCATCATATGATATATAAGCATTTTGTGCAGCAGTCACAGTTTAATGCGAAGAACTGAAACAATGAGATGCATAGTTCCATTATAAAGCACGCTAGTAGATCTATTTTGTTCATTGTGCATGAAAAACAAGATGGTAAGATTCTATTTTATAAAATATTTTTTTAATAGTTGTATTATATGAAAAATTTTAATTAACAATAGCTTTCATTTGTAAGCTACGGTACTTGAACGCGATCCAAGACCGATGAAGCTTTTTAAAAAAAAGTCATATGTGAAATAATGATCATTAGAAAGGGGTGCGACAACTCATGGATAACTGAACTCAGAAGTTTGTGGTAAGTTGGATTTCAATAATTCTTTTCTTAATTTTTTATTTTTTAAAATTTTTCTGACTTGTTTTTTCTTTTTAGAAAACATATAACACTTGATTGCAAAAGAGATACGAAGATGATCCTTCAACCCATCTGGAATTGAATCTGGATTTGTGGTTGGAGATTGGATCATCTGGTGAACCCAATAGAAATTAGATTTATGGTATCTCTAACACTAGGATCGTGGATATATAGACAAATTATAGTGTATTGACTGTTGGTTCCTTACAATCAAGTTCAAGCAGCAATCCTCAACCGTCCAGGTAATTGTACGAGAACAAGTTAAAGCTCAAACAGCCTGGTTTAGTGCTAAGACGACCCAACTTGGGTCTGAGATGGCTGACCTAAGGGATAAAGTGAACATTCTCGAGCAATTACAGTTAACCCTCACTAGTGCATATGATCTACCTCGTCGCCCATCTGATTCCAACAAAGATCTTTCTCTAACACCTCCTCTTCTTTTATTTTTTGTCCATTAGATAAATTGTATTCAATATTGTTTTTAAAATTAATAATAATAATTGAGTTATTTTTTTAATTTTTTTCTTGTGTTGTTTATTTTATGTTTTCTAAGAAATATTAAATACAATATTGATGAAATTATTGACTAACTTTGAATCACAAACAGAATAAGTCCTTTGAAATTTTTCAAAGAGTTGGAAAAACAACTATAGGACTTGCAACTATTAAATGTAAATTTTTGATGGTTTAATTTTATCAGTAATATGCATATGATCACACATGGACATACCAATGATTTATTTTGTTAGCAATATGCTATAATTATTGATGGATTTACCAATACAATGGATGCCAATATTTTTTTTGTTTGACATGATATTTTCATATGTAAATCCATTAGAGAATATATTAGTGATGGATTTATCAACATAATAAAAATCACTAATGATATGTTTTTTGATGATATTTTTTTATATGTAGTTCCATCAAAAAAATTATTTAACTGAATGTGTAAATATTAATAAAATATTTTGTCGGTGATATACAATATTCTAATAGTGCTTGATGAGACATTCATCTATGACATTTCCATAAGTTATTATTATAGTGATGAAAATATGGTTTATATAATGACAGAATATTCCATCTATATAAATCAATTTTATAGTTGTGTAAGATGTACATATTGTTGTACTTATGTGATGTTTCTATAGTTGTGTAAGATGTTGCTTTGTGTACATATTGTTGTACTTATGTGATGTTTGGTATGGGGATCCAATTATATTTAAAAAAAATTTAAAATTTATTATTTTTCAATTAAATTATTTTTTATATTTTTTGATTGTTTTGATAAGTTAGTATAAAAAATAAATTTTAAAAAATAAAAAAAAAATATTTTAATATATTTTTAAATGAAAAATATTTTAAAAGTAATCTTTTTGCCGTGGTACTCTCGATACTTCATGGAATTGATATATTGTAAAGGAATTACTGCATAAAGAATATCAACGAAATGAATTGCGATTCTCTTCTGTCGCTCTCTCCCCACTGTCTCCGTCTCTGTCTCTCATCTCGCATTTCTTCTCTGAGTTGCTTTTTTCTTCTTCTTCTCAAAGCATCCATTTCTTCTCTGAGTTGCTTTTCCATTATCATCGTAATCCAATTTGAACCTATCCATCATTATCCCTGTATAGATATGGATAATCTCAACAGAAGGTAGCGAATTCGGTAAAACAAATACGGACCATGTTATAAACAAGTTAATGTGTGTCGTCACACACACTCACTTTCTGACATAGCTCTTGAAGATAATTAATTATAAACGATCATAAATCTTGGCAGAGGAAAAGCAGTGGCCTCGAACAACTTAATTAAGAAGACCATGTAATGATATCATAGCACTTAAATACTACATAGTAATTTTGTTTCTAAATATCAAGCGTAATTTACTGTCTCAACACTTAAATACTACATAGTAATTTGACCCTCCCAATCCATAATTAGAACCAAAATCCAGAAGACAAAAACAGGACACACCAAAACACCATACGACTCCATATCATTTAAAACCATTTGCAGGAGTTGAAATTGCAAGGTCAGGCCAAGAAAAGCAATCCCCGCCAACAAAACCATTTTCCCCAGCACTCCCAAACTGCCAGGTGTTGTCCAATCCAGCTGTGACAGTAACCTCGCCATGACCACCAACACCAGCACCACCATCTCCTATTCCGGGAAAAGACCAGAGCCCTCTTCCAAGCCCACACCCCACATCTTCAAGCCCATGCCCAGGTCCATGTCCAAATCTTCCGAGAGCCAAGATCCCAGCTGGGCCTGGAGTATTCAACAAAGAAGTAAAACTCCCACCCAGAGCACCACTACCACAACCACCGTAGCCCTTCCCATCACCGCCACCACCAAAATGTACCGAAAAACCCTGACTGGCTGTGAGGGGAACCAGCACTGGGGTAGCAGGCAACGGTAAGTTATCAATGTTGTTGTCGATAATAGGACCCGCAAAGGAGGCAGCTGTAGTAGCTGAAGTACGTGACCTTTTAGCATTTTTCCGAGTGCCACCACCAACAGGGATATCTCGGAGAGTGCCACCGTGAGTCCAGTAACGGCGGCAAGACTTACAGAAGTGACGAGGCTGAGAGAAATTGTAGTTGTTGTAGTAACAAAACTTAGTATTCGTTGAGTCACAACGTGGACATGGCAAGTGCTCTTGTTCTTGAGGTGGTGCCCCTCCAGACTTATTTAATGTTGGAGCTGTCGATAGCGGTGGTCTCCTAGTTTTTTCACTGCTTGATAACTCTGTTGGCATTTTTGGCTTTTGGTGGCAAAGAAAGCGTTGAATACTTGAAGTTTGGTTGTGTTCCTGTGTTTGAAGATAGAAACAGAGTTTGTGATCAGGTATTGAAATGTGGAAGACAAAGGGGGTGGTGATAGAGGGAATTGATGGGGAGAGAGAGCAGGTGGCGAGGGGGGAAGAATCTGGGAATTCTGAGGGATATAAGAGGGGGCAGGGGGGAGAGAGAGAGCGAGAGCGACTTTTACAGTGTTCTGCTATACGGGAGTAGGCAGGCAGAGGCACGACATATTCAGACGGCTCCAGAAACGGGTGGTTCCTTAAGGGGGTGGGGTCGGCTAGTGAGATTTACGGTATGCGGCTTCCGTAAACGATTCGATTGTTTTTAAAAATATTTTTTATTTAAAAATATATTAAATTAATATTTTACAAAATTATTTTTGATATTAATATATTAAAAAATTTATAAATATTTATAAATATTAATTTTTAAAAAAACAATTTTAAAAAAAATTCTAAAATATAAAGAACATAGAGATAAAAAAAACATAGAGGTAAATCTAAAATATAAAGAACATAGAGATAAAAAAACATAGAGGTCGCTACCTCTCTTTCTCATTCTCCCCTGCGACGAAACAACATGCTGCTGCTTTGCTAGTCTTGAAATACACAATTCAGATTGGTGTCTGCCTAAACTTTTCTTGGTTTGTGAGGTGAATTTGACTTGGAGTCTATGTAATAATGTTGTCTTATTCCATTAGCTCTTGTAATTGTAGTTAAATCTTTATAATTTAATGTTACTGACACCATGAAAATTTATTAATTAATTATGTATTAATGAATAAAAAATTAATTTATAAAGGTATTCTTTATTTTATTTTCAAATATCAAACCTTTTTTTTACCTAATTGTATTTGAAAATTATGAATTGTAATGTATGCTGAATTAATATATTTCATAAATATTAAGTAAAGCAAAAGCATCTATAAAACAAAAATGTATAATATCGTAAATGGTAAAACAAAACATAATGAATTCTTCGGATGTATAAAGAAATCAACAATGACAATAAAATGCATAGAAGCTTTGTGTGAGTGCAATTTGAAAAATTCAACTTGCATCCAAAAACAATAATAATCACAAGTGTAAAATAGTTTAACTTGTTAGTAAGCTAAAGAACAATATAAGATGATGTCAGAAGACACAAAACCACAAAAAACCTAAAGATAGAGAAAGTTTTTATTAATGGTTTGCTCAATACAAAAAACATGCTAATATAACACTAATCATGAAAAAGAAAAAAAAAGTTTTTTAAAATGATGTGCCCGATAAATATACTAAAATTATATTTTTCTCGTAATTAAATCAAGAACTTCAAATCAAGATGTGACATTAAGATATATCATCGTTTCAAAGAATAAAATCAATAGATATAAAGCTTGTGAAGAGCAATTTGAAGTTAATATGAGAGAAACTAGATCATTTTTTCATGAAAGATGTTTTTAATATGAATAAAATATTATTATTTTATAACCTACAACTAAATCATTCTCTCATAATAAAATACTTTAAAAGTATAAAACAAGACAATGACAATATTTGCTATAATAAGGATGGTTTTAAGAAAACTTTTATATGGTTCTTTGACAAGTATACCAAACCACTATGTTTTAAGAATGTGACCTTGAACAATATAAATTGCAAGCATCATGCCAACAAATAAGCATAGATGACTATGATTTTATTCTGAGAATATATTCAATAATTTGATAGAAAAATAAATAGTAAAAAAGTTTTCTTGCTTGGTGATAATTATCCTACTTATCCAAAAACTATTAAAGGTTTCCACAATATTAAAATATTCTTCTTACCCCTTAACACAAGACCAATGATTTAGCCATATAAAGTGGGGATCATATAAAATTTTAAGATGAATTATCATCGTTGATTTTATTAAAATATTTTAGAAGGTAATGAAATTGAAATCTCAAATCCAAGGAAGATAAATGTTTTAGATACAATGAATCTTGCAATCTTAGCTTGAACAATAAATGTCTAAGCAAGTACAATTATAAATTGTTTATGACATTATAAAATTAGGTCTATGAATAATATGACTTCAAATAACTTGGATCAACCATACATACGATGAAGACATTCAACAATTACATGTTCTAATAAAAAAGTTGAAGCATTGTGATATAATGAATATTGAATAGATTTTGAACTACCTAGAAGAAAGCAAAGCAACTTCATAGTTGTTGAGTGACGAGCAAATTATTGAAAACATCTAATAAAAAAGTTGAAGTATCGTTATACAATTAATATTGAATAGCTTTTGAACTACCTAGAAAAAAATAAAGCAACTTCATAGTTGTTAAATGACGAGCAAATTATTGAGAACACCATGAAAAATAACATAAAAGATGAAATTGAAGATGATAGTTATGTATTAGAGTATATCTCGTTAAAATATGCATTTAAAGAAACAATTACATTGCATAATTTTTTACGGCAATCGAGGACACAACACTAAATCTTCTTATTTCATTGAAAAAAGTTAAAAATAATGTCTCCAGAGATTAATTTCAAGAAAAAATAAATAATATTCAAGTCATATTTTACAAAGGTGACATAGACAGGAGTAACACAAAAAAAAAGATAATAAACACATGAACATAAAATTATAGTAAATAGAGATCACACAAAAACCTTAATTAAAAATCTTATTATTAAATATTTTCTTTTCAAATAGTCTATCTCAATAAGAGATTTACATTTCCTTAAATAAACTCAAAATTAACCTAAATAAATTAGAAAACTTGAAAATAAAGAAAAAACAATGAGAGTCATAAATAAAGCTGGAAAAATAAAATAAAATTATAAATCAAATAAAAAATTAAATTAAATTAAGTAGAAAAATATAGTAAATCTTGAATAGTTAATTCTACAGCAAAAGATCTTTTAATTGAGTTATGTATATTTGGATGTATAATAAGATTATTAATTTATATATCAAGGGATACTACCAATGTGCTTTTATTAAGAATATATTATCTTATAAATTTAGCAAATTATTAATATACCACATTGGTCTTGAGTTGGGATTCACAAAAAATATTATTTAATTGATGTTATTAATGTATCAAGGTTATATTGTATTATTTATATTGAATTTATTCTATTCTATTCTATTCTATTTTTGTAACTAAATTATGTAAAAAAAATCTTTTCTTCATTTTTCCATAACCAGAAAATTCAAATAAATATTACTTTGAAATTACTGTGTCGTGCAAAAGAAATTACATTAACGATTATGAATAAATTTATCAATAATATATTCCTTTGTTTTTTTTTTATTAAATGACATTATCATAAAGAAAGTAAAAGAATGCTAACCAATTGGTCTACTTTTTATTAATTACGAGAACAAGAAACAAGAATGGATTAACAATACTATATAATTTTATCATTTGTTACTTTCATTAATTACTGTCACTAATATTATTAAATAATAACGTACGTGTGTTAGTTGCTCATAACATGTAATATTTCATTTATGTATATTTTTGTCCAATTGAATTTTTTTACCTCATTTTTATGCAGTCCCAAAATGGTTTTTTCAGTAAAATCCCTACATATCAAAGCTTAAACTTGATCTCAATGGTAAAAATAAATATATGATATTATTGAAAATAAAAGTTTTATTTTTTAATAAGAATGTCTGTTTAAATCCACTTAATTCTTATCTTGTCCAAAAAAACCTATTGAAAAATAATATATTTATGATGATATGAAAAAAAATAAAAATAAAAACATTTCAATAGCATGACAATAATAATCTAATTTTCAATTAAAAAAACTTGTTTTTTATAATAACATAAGAATATTATGAGGATATATAAGTTTTATTTTTCCATTGATCACATCTAATTAAAACTTAATCCCTATCTTGTCCATCAACCCATTTAAATTATAGAAAATATATTATGATGATATGAGGAAAAACAATAAAAGCCGAAGTAAAAACATTCCAATGAACTAACAATAGTAATTTATTTTTAGTAAAAAAAATTAAGCTTTTTTTAAAAAGAAGCTCATTGATATAATAGTATACTTATTCATAGAAAAAATATATTCTCACAATAATAGTTATAAGATATTATACAAAAATAGTAATTTTTATTAAAAAAATAAATGACTATTGTTACGTCATTGAAGATTTTTTATATGGACTTGGATTTTTTTCTCATATCATCATAAATATATTATTAATAATAAAAAATCATATTATTTAAATTGGTTGATGAAACTAATTAAGTGATTTTAAATAGATATGCTAAAAAAAAACTTTTGTTTTCATTAACATCATATATCTATTGTAAATATTTTGATCAAGTTTAAGATATGATATATGAGGATTTAATTAAGAAAATATTTAAGGACTAAGTTGCATCAGTCATGAAATACATATGGGATAGCAAATTCTATTAATAACTTATTTATAAAAAATAAAATACAGGGTTCAAAATAAAAATTCTAAAAAAACTTAGGTCAAAATATACATCAATGAAATATCATACATTATGAAACAAAATATTATATATTATGGGCAGTTAAAATGTGTCTTTATTTAACAATATTACATATAATAACTTATGAAATAACCTAAACATGATAATCATGTAACACATAGAGATAATATATATATACACACACTAGATAGATCTTTCAGACACAGGATTAATAATACAAAGATACATCTTTCAGACACAGGATTAATAATACAAAGACGTACAACATCATTATGTTTTTTTTTTATTATTTATTTCTAATGACAATTTTTCTTTGGTGGTGGGGGAAGAGATGTGATAAGTTAGGTAGAAACTTTAGCATTATTAATCCAACAGGACCACCCCATGAATTCTTTGTTGATCTACCATGAAACTCTAAAGACATGGGATTGGAAAATGAGAACAAAAAAACAAAAAGAAAATACACCATGTCAACAAACCGATAGAATACTACATCTTGACAAAGATAGTGCTGATAAAAGAATTAGCTAGATCCAAACAAGTAGCTACCTTCCAAATTCAAATAATACAGGCATTATATGAGAACACAACTTCTCCTTTTTCTCTTTTAGATTGTTCTTATACCTTAATTAATGCAGTTATAGGTAATATATAGTTACCTCAATCACAAATTATTTCAACTAAAAGTTAATTTTTTTTAGTTAAAGATTTAATATCGAAGAATTTTCTTGGTCAAAATCCTTAAATTGTTACGTAAGATCTTGCAAGATATAATTTATATTATTTTTTAATATATCATCTCAAGTGAAAGTTTTTTAAACCTAAAA